GGGGGGGGGGGTGCGGCCACATTGTTAAATTGCTCTCTAATAACTCTCTGAATGTCACGGGATGGTATATTATGGAAACAGTTCAAGAATTTAGATGCGTCTTTGTGGACGGGCAGAGGAAGTGGGGTGGGTGGGGGGGTTGGCTAGGGGGATAAAGTGAATTCACTGATACGGGTCGCTGATGATTTGAGGATTCTCTCCCCTTTTAATTTCTCGGAATGTCCACAAATGCCAAAGAGATCTACACCTAGCCTATCTTCACCGTGACCTTGGATCAGATTGTATTTATTGATTATACAACGTATCCATGGACCTTGTGGGATGACCGTCACATGACAACAATTGACCAGCTCCCACACCCCGACCACGACAGAAGCCGGTTGGCAGACGGGTGGGGTAACCTCCGTCATTCAACTGACCAATCGTCACTGAGCTTATAGTCCATTCAACTGACCAATCGTCACTGAGCTTATAAGTCAAACTCTTAGCCCCTGGCCACAAGGATAGACGCATATAAGGCTCGCTTCGCCCAAGCTAAGTTCACTTGTAGAGTGTTCATTCGACCTCCTACGCCTTTTTCACAGCTTACTGCCCAGTAAGTAGTAATGAGACTTCCATGGGATATTTCATTTGTTCTAGTGTGACATACGACTTAAAAACCTCGTGAAAAAAACTGTTAATTAGACAGGATTTGTCAAATAAATAGCTAGGCTTTAAGTGGCGTATTTATGAACGAAATTAATCCCAAACGCGTTCTGAAATATTGCTATGAGTTGGATATTTTTTAATCAATCGTCAGATGTGAATGAATCTAATTTGTGAAAATAGTCTTTTAATGATAATTGTTATACTTGACATAAGAATTGAGGATCAACAATCTTTTCGAAGTAAAGTTACCCTACTTAGTTTTAAGACCAACTAATTTTTACTTACTTGTAATATTTAAAAATAGGATAGGTCAATTTAATTTACTTGTATTCGAACTGAGCATTTGAGACTTGTGTGGGATCATGTTAAAAGTAGACTTCGTTTGTTTGTTGTTTTTTTTTTGTTTTTTTAAAGTGGTGGTATATTTTAATTCTTTGAGGAAACTGGTTTAAATTCAATGAAATTGTTAGACCCTGAAATGGATGGGAGGACTTTGTGATCGATACGTGGAGTAAAGATGAAATATTTCCATTATTTTTGTTTCAGGTCATGTTTACATTGCTGTTGATCGCGTGCCTGGCCACTCTGTCAGTTCATGGCATGCCACATAGGCTAAACACTGGTGTTTTTAACGGTTACCATAGTTACCGCCTGTCCTATGCACCCTACTCAGCCACATTCAAAGAGTTTCAACAATTTTTTGGTATGTCCACTTATTAGAATTCTGAACTTGATGTTTTTTTCTAATAATTTTTTTTTGGGGTATTATTCGGCCCTCTCCTTATTAGTGATTGTTAGCAGTTAATGTACAGTTACCTATCTAAATAAACTATAATAATATTTTAAGTATACACTCAATTTTTATTTCCAAATCAAATGTATTTCCCTTGATGAGGTAATTAAATCTCTTAAATTGTGTTATTCCTACTCCTAAGCAGCAGCTTCTTAACAGAACTCATGTAATGTGGAAAATATTTGAATTTTAAAAAATACACAATTTAAAGCCTTTAATATGTTTGCAGACAAGACTTAATAGATACTATATTTTTATTTTCCTATATTACGAAATACTTGATTTTCTTAATTCTACAGGCAAGGTCTACGAAACTTTCTCTGAGTCCAATCAACGTTTCAACACCTTCATTGAAAACATCAAGAGAATTGAAGAACACAATCTCAAGTTCCACAATGGACAAGTCTCATACTTCCTTGGTCTTAACCAATTCTCTGACTTGGTAAGTCGTTTCTTCACTGTCATGGTCAGTTGGTTAACTTGCATTAGTGGAAACCAATTTTATTAACATGGTGCGCCATTTCCACTGGTGCCAACTGACTTGTAGGAATTTGGTTGTTTAACAGCCCACTTGGAAAATTGCTAAAATTTAAATATGTAATAATAAATGTTTCTGTATCTCTTCTAAAGACATTGGACGAGTACCACCAGCTCAACCACCTTGGCAAATACTCCACAATCAAATCCCGAGCTCTGACCAAATGTTTCATCTACGAACCCAAGAACTCCGCCCCTGATGCCATTGATTGGAGAGCTAAAGGAGCAGTCACCGCTGTCAAGGATCAGGGCCAGTGTGGCAGTTGCTGGACATTCAGTGCTGTAAGTTTTAACTAGTGTACAATAACAAAGATTGTATCATAGCTTAATTGACGAGGTCGTAAATTTTAAATTTTTAAAGATTTATCATGAAGCCTATTGGCATTACCTTTCACATTGTTAACAGGCAAACGGCAATTAAAGAATGAGTGAATTAATTATGAAGTCTGTGGTAAGACTAATTTTAATCAGTAAATTTACTGTCCCAGCCCCACCCACCATTATTTGTACCATATATCTTCTCTCTTCTACAGACAGGATCAATCGAAGGTCAAAACTTTAAAAACACAGGAAAACTCCTGTCCTTCAGTGAACAGCAGATTGTTGATTGTTGTCATGGAGATGGCTGTGCTGGATGCAATGGCGGTTACATGGACTCAGCCTTTCAATACATCAACAAAACCGGCGGCTTGGAGCTGGAATCTGACTATGCCTACACAGCGCAGGTTTAGTTTTTTTTCCAACTTGACCTTATTTAAAAACTTGTGGCGCTATCTTTCAAAGAATAATTCAATGGATGAACTGACCCAGAAATAGCCAAAGATTTTGTTTGATTTTCTAGAGCCATATAGTGATTTTATCAGTCACAGAATAACTTGTATCTTTTATATGATTTTAACCAGGATGGAACCTGTCGTTTTAGCCAGTCCTTGGTGAAGGTTAAGGTCACCAACTGCCTTGACATCAAAAGGGGAGACGAGGTTCATCTGAAGGATGCTCTGGCCAATGCTGGACCAGTGTCAGTTGCTATTGATGCCAGTCATCCAAGCTTCCAATCTTACGCTGGAGGTCAGTAGACATTTAACCGTAAGGCTTTTCATTTCTGTTTTAAATATCATCTAATCTGGTTTGCATGATTGTTAATAACAAGACTCTTGTTAAATATGTTGATCTTAAAACACTTTGGTATTATAATTTTTAATTTTACTTTCAGGTATTTATGATGAGAAAGATTGCAGCAGTTCAGAATTGGATCATGGTGTTTTGGTTGTTGGATATGGCACCCAAGACAAAGCTGATTACTGGATTATCAAGAACAGGTGACAGACTTTACTTTAAATCATAATGTAATAACGTAGTGGAACTAAGATTCAGTACAGATATTTTCAAAGCACTTTTGAATAAGATTAAACAAGCTGATGCCACATGGCATGAATGTCATGTTCTCATTCACCTGTTAAAATTTTCTCCACCCCGCTCCTCATTACGACCAATCGCAGTTGACTTACTTTTCCATTCTTTTGTCCCGTTTTGCCTGTATTTAATCTCCCACTTATGTTCTGTCACATTCCTTTTGCTTTCCTCTCACATATGGTCTGTTAAATTCCTCTTGCTGTCAACTCAACTTATGTTCAATCAAATTCCTCTTGCTTTCCTCTCACATATGGTCTATCACATTCCTCTTGCTGTCCTCTTAGATACAAGTTACGTTTTATTTTTATTCAGTTTTTGTTTGCTGATGAAGGCTTCTTGCCAACATGTTCATTGCTTAGATGCATTGCTTTTTTCAGGGTCTCCCGTACATCGATGATTTCCACTTTTCTAACCTGATAACAGTCTCTTCCCCTTATTACCATTAAATAAGAGAGCAGGCAATGCATTTGTATTTTAATCCTCTTATAATACTTATCCACACAAATTTTAAAACCTTTATATTTTTTTCCTCTTCCACAGCTGGGGCATCACTTGGGGAATGGAAGGTTATGTGCTGATGCCAAGAAATGCCAAGAACCAATGCGGCACTGCAACTTTGGCCAGCTTCCCTCTCACTGCCTCCCCTTAATGACGCCATAACTTAGCTTGATTGTGATTTTTATATGTAATTAGGATTTTAAGTTCTCTGGGATGTGCTGTGTGTAATTTTTAAAGTTCTGTCCAGAAAATTTTTAATTTCACTGATGTAAATAGTGAGCTATTCAATCATTGCTTCATATTTGAATAAATGAATTTTTAAATATTCTTTGTTCCTTTTTTAATTCTTAATTTTTTTTAATTTTTTTTTATTTTTACAAGATTTATTTTAAATTTCATATTCATAACTCTGTATGATATCCTCTCGAACTAGTGGTGGAAACTTTTTTAGCCGGAGATAAGTCCTCCTAAATCAAGTCTCCTATAACATACATAATACAGCATTTATAATAAAGTTACATAAACTTTCTACACTGAGCTAATTAGCCTTACAATGATACCCTAGTTAAATTCTTAAGGACACAAAGTGTTAACATTCCATAGGCAATTCTTTTCTCAAACATCAAAGAACAGACCATAAATATTAATCACCTCTTACACACTGAATACATTATTTACATTGATCACATCATAGACATTGATTGCATCATTTACATTGAACACATACACATTTATCACATGTTTTGACTTCTGTACACCAACAAGCACAAATTTGTTGTCTACCATTGTTTGCTAGCATGTCAAACAAAAAAGAATGAGAATTATCGCTCAAATAGGTGGTGCTTAATTTAAGGTTGTCCCCTGCATTACCAATAAAATCATTGCTACTAATACTCTCCTATCTCAGCGGCTAATGACCACATAAAAACACATTTCCCAAAAAAATTTGTTCAATATTTGAATACCCTTTCCCGCTCTTGGGTAACCTCATGTTGAAAATCACAGACTAACCACTAACATCATCTGACCTTTACCACACATTGTTTCAGGGATAAGTTTTTTACAAAGTGATGTAAGCTGGACAGAATTTTTTCTAAATTTACCAATTAAATTGGTCAAATGGCTGTTATAATTGGATATGTAATAACATTATTTCTTCTTCCCTCTCCAAATATTCAAATATAAAATACATGGATCCCATGCTTTTACTCTCTCGGTTTAAACAAACGTTGTCTTTGGTCACCTCACTTGAAAACTGATTTGATGATTCTACCTGTCTTTTTTTTTTTTTTAAAGAAGTTCAAATAGTACAAGGCCAAGGTCAGGCGGCTATTCTCACTATAGACTCATGGGGTTACAAAGTTCCATCTTTAATAAGCAGGCCTATATGTCTATCATGGTAGGACAGGTCTAAATTACAGACACCGGGGAGACGATTTCATTGATTAACTTGATTCTTTAATGTGTGGGCTGGGGGGTGAGGGTGGCGGCTTGGAGTTGTTTATTGCGTTAGATTAGTGGTTCTCCACCTTCTTAATGCCGCGACCCCTTAAAGCAGTTCACCATTTTTTGGTGACCCCCCCCCCCCAAAAAAAAAAATAAAAAATAAATAAAATAAAATAAACCACAAAATTATTTTCGTTGCTACTTCATAACTGTCGAGAATATGCTTTTTCCGATCTGCTCAGGCGACCCCTGTGAAAGGGTCGTTCGACCACCAAAGGGGTCGCGACCCACTGGTTGAGAACCGCTTAGATGGTTAGCCTTTAATCTGTTAAAAAATAATTGTCTTCCGTTTAATTACGGCCCACCCAAACCGATTCAGTTGTTAAAATGTTCGGTTTTCTTACCCAGAAAACTGGTTGGTCGTGACACAACCAGGGTTTCTTTCAGCTAAACATAGCACTGCCCCCCCACCCCCCCCCCGGGAAAGGCAAGTGCCCCCCGGAGCAAAAATATGTCCAACAATAAATCAACTAGCACTGCCCCCCCCCCAAAAAAATAAATAAATCTGAAGTGCCCCCACCCGGGGGGGGGGGACTTTCTGAAATAATCACTGGTCACAACTTGGTGGCGATGTCTTACAAGATGTGGTTCATATTTCTGCACTCAGTGTCGAAGCGAGACATTGTAGACTTACGTGGTTCATATTTATGCACTCAGTGTCGAAGCGAGACATTGTAGACTTACGTGGTTCATATTTATGCACTCAGTGTCGAAGCGAGACATTGTAGACTTACGTGGTTCATATTTATGCACTCAGTGTCGAAGCGAGACATTGTAGACTTACGTGGTTCATATTTATGCACTCAGTGTCGAAGCGAGACATTGCAGACTTACGTGGTTCATATTTATGCACTCAGTGGCGTAGCGAGACATTGCAGACTTACGTGGTTCATATTTATGCACTCAGTGGCGTAGCGAGACATTGCGGACTTGGGGTTTGATAACCCCGAGCCCCGAAAACATATATTTCTTTTGTAAAGTGAAACCTGGAATTAACGAGCTTTGAAGTAGCACTGTCCCTGGTATATGGGCAAAACTGGTGATAATGTATAATATAGTGACAAAATACATCTGATAAAGTTGAACTTAAACACGCTGAACATAGTGATGTAGATGACGTCATGCGTGTCAAAGAGTCTTAAGAGGCAATGCCAGAAGTAATTCAACAGAATGATATTGGACTTATAAACTTTGAACTGCATACCGAACATTAGGAACAGAAATGGTTAAGTTTGGTTCAAAGTATTTCCACAACCGTGAAAAAAAGGGGGGGGGGGCATTTCCTACCGACAAACACAAAATTGGACTAAACTATTTCAATGGTCATGGTGAGCAAGTGGCTGTTGTGGTGAGCAAGTGACTCGGTCATGGTGAGGAAGTGACTCGGTTATGGTGAGGAGATGGCTCGGTCATGGTGAGGAAGTGACTCGGTCATGGTAAGGAAGTGACTGTCGTAGTGATGAAGTGACTCGGTCATGGTCAGGAAGTGACTGTCGTTGTGATGAATTGGCTCGGTCATGGTCAGGAAGTGAATCGATCATGGTGAGGAAGTGACTCGGTCATGGTGAGGAAGTGACTGTCGTTGTGATGAAGTGACTCATCAATCCTCTCATATCATCAATCCTCTCATATCATCAATCCTCTCATATCATCAATTCTCCCATATCATCAATTCTCTCATATCATCAATCCTCTCATATCATCAATCTTCTCATATCATCAATTCTCTCATATCATCAATCCTCTCATATCATCAATCCTCTCAGGTCATCAATTCTCTCATATCATCAATTCTCCCATATCATCAATTCTCTCATATCATCAATTCTCTCATATCATCAATCCTCTCATATCATCAATCCTCTCAGATCATCAATTCTCTCATATTATCAATCCTCTCATATCATCAATTCTCTAATATCATCAATCCTCTCATATCATCAATCCTCTCATATCATTCATTCTCTCTGTGGCTGGCAAGAAAAAATTTGGAGATATTTAGTTGCAAACAGAGTTATCTGACATGGAAAGCGTATTTAGTACTATTGCAGGAAATTGAAAACACTATTTCAATTACAAAAATTCATTTTGTCTATCCAATGTTATGGCTTTTGTCTATCCAATGTTATGGCTTTTGTCTATCCAATGTTATGGCTTTTGTCTATCCAATGTAATGGCTTTTGTCTATCCATTATTATGGCTTTTGTCTATCCAATGTTATGGCTTTTGTCTATCCAATGTTATGGCTTTTGTCTATCCAATGTTATGGCTTTTGTCTATCCATTGTTATGGCTTTTGTCTATCCAATGTTATGGCTTTTGTCTATCCAATGTTATGGCTTTTGTCTATCCAATGTTATGGCTTTTGTCTATCCAATGATATGGCTTTTGTCTATCCAATGTTATGGCTTTTGTCTATCCAATGTTATGGCTTTTGTCTATCCATTGTTATGGCTTTTGTCTATCCAATGTTATGGCTTTTGTCTATCCAATGTTATGGCTTTTGTCTATCCAATGTTATGGCTTTTGTCTATCCAATGTTATGGCTTTTGTCTATCCAATGATATGGCTTTTGTCTATCCAATGTTATGGCTTTTGTCTATCCAATGTTATGGCTTTTGTCTATCCAATGTTATGGCTTTTGTCTATCCAATGATATGGCTTTTGTCTATCCAATGTTATGGCTTTTGTCTATCCAATGTTATGGCTTTTGTCTATCCATTGTTATGGCTTTTGTCTATCCAATGTTATGGCTTTTGTCTATCCAATGTTATGGCTTTTGTCTATCCAATGTTATGGCTTTTGTCTATCCAATGTTATGGCTTTTGTCTATCCAATGTTATGGCTTTTGTTTATCGAATAATGACTTTTATTTCTTTTACCCTATGCCCCTGATCCCAATTGATACTTGGGGCTGTCTTTGGCGCCACTACTCACTTGCCACACACCGACGTCATTCTTACGCTGTTTAATTAGGTCATGGACGGATCAATCTTGACATTTTGATATGGGGCCTGGGGTGGAGTGTATAAAGTGAAAAAAAGTTGCTGTTTTTTTTAATATAAATTTGCCATAAACGGAACTTTAGCCCACCTTAGGGGTGACAAAATCGACTTTGGATAGGACCTTAATAGTGAATTTAACGGTAATTAAACAAGCCCTAAAAACTAAATGTGTTTATGGATCTTACCTTCGTTTGATGAGGTTGAGGGAGAGCGGAAGAGACGGGAGGAACGTACTAGATAGAGGCATAGTTAGCATGAATATAATTATTACGAATAATAAGTTTCCATGCGGAGAAATTGTCATGGGAGAATTTCTAAATAAAACAATTTTATAACATTTGCCAAATATCGCAAAATAAGATTAGGTTTAATAGACTGCTTTCTAATAGATTACCACCTTCAATCTTCAAAGGTACAGACCCTCTTATTGTAGTCTAAACAATAGTCTTTCTATTTGATAGATTTACACTAGCTAGATACGATTATTTTACAAGAATTGTAGAGTCGTTTTTAAGAAATGTATCGAATCTTACTGTATACATTTATCATGTCTAAGGATAATTATATAACCCTGACCTTCCCTGGATGACATGTTGAACAACCATTTGAGAACACCTGACAGCTGGAATGAAAACCCCCTCTCCTCCTCCCCCCCCCCCCCCCGGGCCCCACTGAATTAAATCAAGATGCCGGTACGACAATCGCGTGACCCAAATATGTCATCAAAGTTGCATGTCGCCAAGAGTATGGATAACCGTCACGTGACAACAGCTGACCATGGCAGTAGCCGTATGACCGACTCGGCCAGACAGCCGACCAATCGCCTCGTGTTATCAGATCTACTTTTATTTACCCGTGTTGTGTAGACGCTACACAGTAGCACGAGTCGAAAGGTTCTATAGCTCAGTGTGTCAACATTGGCTTCTTGATTCCTTCAAACCTTCCTGACCAGTAAGTACTTTGATCAGTTAGTACTTTGAGCAATAAGTACTTTGACCACTAAGCACTTTGTCCAATAAGTACTTTGACCAGTAACTACTTTGACCAATAAGTCCTTTGACCAGTAACTACTTTGACTTTAGTAAGTCGTAAAAAAAGTACTTAACCAAATAAGCACTTTGACCAGTAAGTACTGTGACAAGTAAGTAGCTGAGAAAAGTAAGTAGCTCTGACAAATAAATAATGTGAATAGTAAGTAATGTGACCAGCAAGTACTGTTAATAATAAGTACCATGGATAAATATGTATGTAAAAAAAAGGAAACACTGTTACTGCCGTGAGTAACATGAATTTATATCACGTAATTTAATCTTTCACCCATAAATAGTTTGGGGTGGGAGGGAGGTGGGGGGCAGGGTTGCCAAAATTTAGGAACAAGCCGCTCACATTTGGCATGCAAGGAATTTCTCCCTAAAATTCCTTTAAACTCTAGGATGTCCGTAAAAAAATGGACGCTGTCCTTCATGGAGGAAAAAAAAATGTCGTCTTTTTTGCAGGTCATGTTGATATTGCTGTTGATCGCGTGTCTGGCCACCCTGACAGTCCATGGCATGTCAAATAAGCTAAACTCCGGTGTTTATAATGGTTACTATAGTTACCGCCTGTCCTATGAGCCTTATACCGCCACATTCAACGAGTTCCGAAAAGTTTTTGGTAAGTCGAAATTTGAATCGTTTTTTTTTTTTGTTGTTTTTTTTTTAAATTAACCGAAGATAAATTGTCAACTTGAAACCTACAGCTGTGCATGTTGTCCGTCACACTATCAGCCCAGTGTGCATTTACTACATTACTAGTTTTCAACGCAGACCTACCTGACCTGAATGATATCAGCCATAGGTGGATGTAAAACGTGTGTATGTTGCTAATCCTACAGGCAAGACCTACCAGACCCACTCCCAGTTCAATGAAAGCTACAACACCTTCATTGAAAACATCAAGAAAATTGAAGAGCACAACCTCAAGTTCCACAATGGACAAGTCTCGTATTTCCTTGGCGTTAACCAGTTCACCGACTTGGTACGTTATCTCCCTTGGCGTTAACCGCTTCACTAACTTAGTAAGTTGAGTTATTTCCCTTGGTGGAAGCAAATTCATTGACTTTGGTGAGTTGAGTTTAATCCTTGTTTCCAACAGGTTCACTTTCAAGACGATTGGAGTTTTAACCCTTTGTGTTAACAATATTAGCCTCAGTGGGAAAATCTAAGCATCAGTTTTCTGTAAATTCATTTGGTTATTCTGATAACTAACAAGAAAAGTTAACACCCCACTCCACCCTCTTTCCACCCTCCACACACAGGTTTTCATTTTTTATATTTTTTTAAAGAATAATTTACCTCAGGGGAGTCAACCCGCTTCCTCATGCGGCAAGTCAGATTAAATATTTTTCTCGATGGCTGCCATACAAACTATTTCTTCATTCAATCAGCCATTTATTTTCATTCTTGGCAAAAACTCATTTTTTTTTAAATTAAAGAAAGCAAATTTTGTGAAGGTTTGCACAATTTCAATGTACCTGGCCCTTTTGGGCTGATTTAAAAAAAAAATAAAAAAATAAAAGAGATATCTCACATTAGACATCTCAAATCTTAAATTAAAATTCTATAACAATGTAACTATTAAGTAACTACTAAAATTGAAGCATTTATATAAAAAACAGGCTTAGGAAACTTAAATCACTACTAGCATTTCTTCAGTTGATCTCTGGTTAATTGTAGAGTTTTATAAAACTACTAGCATTTCTTCAGTTGATCTCTGCTTAGTTGTAGAGTTTTATAAAACTAGTATCAAGTATGTGCCAAAATGGATAATCGAATTTTGAAATTAACACCCAAAAATCTGGGGTCTACAGATTTTGGTGGCTGTTCCCGAAACCCCCCCCCCCCAAACCACCTCACCATTGTCGATTAAAGTGATTCAATGACGAGCAACTACTGACAATATGCACTGTATATAATATATAAAAGAGCTATATTTCGATTTAAATCTATTCAATTTATTTATATGTGTGTCGGCATGAGTAGATGTGTTATCATCTGATAATTGTGTGCAGTAAAAATAAATAAATGATTATTTTTGTACATCGTTTTTTGGGGTATTTATTTTATTGACAGGCCAGTGAAGAGTTAACTAGTTATCAAAGTAATGTATCATGTAAATCGTGGGGGGTGGAAGGGGGGGGGGGCAACCCGCATAGCTTTATGGGCCACTTAGTCAAAGTGGCCTTAGTCAAAGTGGCCTTAGTCAAAGTGGCCTTAGTCAAAGTGGCCTTAGTCAAAGTGGCCTTAGTCAAAGTGGCCCGTAAAGATGTGTGGGTTTCCTACCGATGATTTAAATGATGCATTCATTATCTACTATCATCTATCATCTATCATCTATCATCTATCATCTATCATCTATCATCTATCATCTATCATCTATCATCTATCATCTATCCTAAGTTGTTTTGTTGGTTGTTGTTTTTTTTCGTTTTTTTCTATCAAAAGAGATGATACACATTTTTTTTTTCTTTCTGGCTAAATTTAAAAATCTATTTTTATTGTGGTGTCCATTTATGAAGTCATTTTGTCTATGGTGCGCCATCATCCTTTATTAAACGACCACCATCCTCTGGTGCGCCATCATCCTTTATTAAACTACCCCCATCCTCTACCAAATGACGCATCTAAGATGTTGAAATTCACACAATATAATTTTGCTCCATAAAAATCTGGTACCTTATTTTTTATCCAGACTTTAGACGAATATCACCGGCTCAACCACTTGGGCAAATATTCCACTGTCAAATCTCGAGCTGTGACCAAATGTTTCATCTACGAACCCAAGAACTCCGCCCCTGATGCCATTGACTGGAGAACAAGAGGAGCAGTGACCGCTGTCAAGAACCAGGGCCATTGTGGCAGTTGTTGGGCATTCAGTGTTGTGAGTTTAGGACCTTCTCTTTGACATCAGCATCTGTATCTGTCCATTACTGTTTATGACTGAGCGATACCAACGATGTTTGTAAATATACCTTCAATATTATTTTTGATTGTAGGTCTTTACATCATGAACCAGATAAAAAGCAATACAGTCTGAATATAATTATATGACACATATTTAAATGCATCCATCAATCCCTGTGGCGCTACAGCCCATGTAGGGCTTTGGCCTGCCTCACTACTTCCTTCCACTCAGCCCTAACTAATGCTTTTCTTTTCCATGCTTGGATTCCCAGTTGTTTTAGATCTTTTTCCACATCATCTATCCACCATACAATTATTTTCGTTGCTTCTTCAATAATATGTGTTTTCAAATGGTCTTAGACGACCCTTGTGTAAGGGTCGTTTGACCCCCAAAGGGGTCGCTGCCCACAGGTTGAGAACCACTACTTTAAAGGAACACCATTGAGAAGGCCTACTGGGTCAATACGTGTAGTGGTTAAAAAGACACAAAGCACATCCAGAATTAGAGAATTGACTTGATTCTTCTGAGAACAGATTGGCTTAAAGGCATCCTTAAATATAATTAGTTGAATTAATCTAATTATAGCACCTCATATCTAACTTAGATAATATAATTCTTAAAACTGATTAATATTATTTTTTTTTATTCATTGCTATTATGTTCAAATAATTAAATGCCCCATTTGATTTTTCAGACAGGTACCATTGAGGGTCAAAACTTTAGGAACACCGGAAAACTCCTTTCATTCAGCGAACAGCAAATTTTAGACTGTTGCCACGACGACGGCTGTGGTGGCTGCAATGGCGGATACATGGACTATGTCTATAGGTATATCAACAAAACTGGTGGGCTGGAGCTGGAGTCGGAGTACCCCTACAGGGCCGAGGTTCGTTTTGAAGAAGAGAGGACGGGGGTGAAGAGGGTGTTTTTGGAGTGAAGTTTTGGTTTAGGGATATAAATATTGTGTTGTTGTTTTTTTGTATATTTTGATTTTTGGCAAACCAGTTGTGTAGTTTTTGGAATCTGGGTTAAATAAACAGTTTATTTTATCAGCATTAGTAATTGTTCCGCTCAGCAATGTCAGATTGACTTGATATTTTATACAATTTTAAGCAATAGTAAATTGTTTATTTATTCTTAAAACTGTTTTCACTTTGATGAAGCATTTTTAGTCCCAGAATTTAACCTATACTTTTAGAGTACACGGAAAAAGCAACGTAGTATTTCAATCTTTGAGACAGTTATCTATTTTTTTTAAAATGACCTCTTCCCGCTCACTTACTGTTACCAAAACAAAAAGTATATTTTCATCAGCTGACAAATCAAGCGAGTATAAGTGACCACATTATTTACAGGCCACAGCATGTTCAAGGTTTTTAAAAGTATTTAACTTATTAAAAAGCTTCTCCAAAATTTTGGATTTTAAAAAATAATCTTCTTTAAAGATAAAAAATAATGAACTGGATTATATATATATATATTTTTTTTTAAAATTTTAACAACCGGTTATTGGTTCCCAAATCAGCTTGCATTATATTACCACCATATTGTTGATGATGTGGGACAGTGTTAATATTAATGGGCCACTGTGTTGTTGGTCATGTGGGACCGGGTTAATATTAATGAGCCACTGTGATGTTGGTCATGTGGGGCTGTGTTAATATTAATGAGCGATCGTGTTGTTGGTCATGTGGGGCTGTGTTAGTATTAATGGGCCATCGTGTTGTTGGTCATGTGGGACTGTGTTAATATTAATGCGCCATCGTGTTGTTGGTCATGTGGGACTGTGTTAGTATTAATGGGCCATCATGTTGTTGGTCATGTGGGACTGTGTTAATATTAATGGGTCATCATGTTGTTGGTCATGTGGGGCGGTGTTAACATTAATGGGTCATCATGTTGTTGGTCATGTGGGGCTGTGTTAGTATTAATGGGCCATCGTGTTGTTGGTCATGTGGGACTGTGTTAATATTAATGCGCCATCGTGTTGTTGGTCATGTGGGACTGTGTTAGTATTAATGGGCCATCATGTTGTTGGTCATGTGGGACTGTGTTAATATTAATGGGTCATCATGTTGTTGGTCATGTGGGGCGGTGTTAACATTAATGGGCCATCGTGTTGTTGGTCATAAGACGCATTAACCTTGGATGGCAACTCATCTAAGAGAAGGCAAACTCTGAAATAAAACCCAGGGAATGTGGACCATTTGCTTGATTATCATTGTTGCAACAAAGCCAAGACATGTGAAATGAATGAAAATAAGAATAAATACATGTGGTTATAATATGTGTCCATATTCTTGAGAACATCTTCTTAATCAAAGATTAAAGAAATAATTTGTTTGTAAAAATGTACAACACTTTTTTAATTTATTTATTTGATATTGATCTGCTAACATAATGTAAGTCATTTAAGCATCCACTTACATAATTTAAGTTCTTAAAGCATCCACCTACATAATGTAACTTGTTTAAACATTCACCAGCATAATGTAAGTTGTGTAAGCATCCACCTACATAATGTAAGTTGTGTAAGCATCCACCTAAATAATCTGAGTTGTGTAAGCATTCACCTACATAATCTGAGTTTTGTAAGCATCCACATACATAATGTAAGTTATTTAAGCATCCACCTACAAAATCTAAGTTGTGTAAGCATCCACATACATAATGCAAGTTGTGTAAGCATCCACCTACATAATGCAAGTTGTGTAAGCATCCACATAAATAATGTAAGGTGGGTAAGCATTCACCTATATAATGTAAGGTGGGTAAGCATTCACCTATATAATGTAAGGTGGGTAAGCATTCACATACATAATGTAAGTTGTGTAAGCATCCACATGAATAATGTAAGGTGTGTAAGCATCCACCTTCATAATGTAAGGTGGGTAAGCATTCACCTATATAATGTAAGTCGTTTAAACATGTGCAAACATAATGTAAGTTTAAGGGGTTTTTTTTTACCCAGGGGCATTATTTCAGGTTTTTACGGGGGGGGGGGGCAAGGGGAACCTAAACTTGTTCAGGTTGTTTTTTACGGGAGGCGCCAAAGTATATAGAAATTTAAATAAATTCAGAGGGTGGCAATTTTCCCACCCTGCCTTACCCAAATTAAGGTGGGTAAGCATTAACTTATATAATGTAAGTCGTTTAAAAATGTGCAAACATAATGTAAGTTTAAGGGGTTTTTTTTTACCCAGGGGCATTATTTCAGGTTTTTACGGGGGGGGGGGCAAGGGGAACCTAAACTTGTTCAGGTTGTTTATTACTGGAGGCGCCAAAGTATATAGAAATTTAAATAAATTCAGAGGGTGGCAATTTTCCCACCCTGCCTTACCCAAATGACATCCCTATTTCTAACCGGTCAATATTTCGCTTTTTCTAATGTGATACTTTTTGCCAGGAGGACACGTGCCACTTTGATAGATCTTCAGTGAGGGTGAAGGTCACCAACTGTCTGGATATTAAAACTGGCAATGAGTATCACCTCAAGGACGCTCTAGGCAATGTTGGACCGGTGTCTGTTGCGATCGATGCCAGTCATCCCAGCTTCAAATCATATGCTGGAGGTCAGTAAACTGTAGAAATTTACTGGAGGTCAGTAGAAATAGACATTTACTGAAGGTCGGTAAAAGTAGACATTTACTGGAGGTCATTAGAAGGAGACATTTACTGGAGGTCAGTGCAAATGGACATTTACTGGAGCTCAGTAGAAATAGATATTTACTGGAGGTCAGTAGAAGCAGACATTTACTTCAGGTCAGTGGAAATAGACATTTACTGGAGGTCAGAAGAAATATACAATAACTGGGGGTCAAAAGAAATAGACAAAAATCTTGTCATTGCCTTCCATGATCGTTGTTGTAATTGTCATTGCCTTCCATGATCGTTGTTATAATTGTCATTGCCTTCCATGATCGTTGTTGTAATTGTCATTGCCTTCCATGATCGTTGTTATAATTGTCATTGCCTTCCATGATCGTTGTTATAATTGTCATTGCCTTCCATGATCGTTGTTATAATTGTCATTGCCTTCCATGATCGTTGTTATAATTGTCATTGCCTTCCATGATCGTTGTTATAATTGTCATTGCCTTCCATGATCGTTGTTATAATTGTCATTGCCTTCCATGATCGTTGTTATAATTGTCATTGCCTTCCATGATCGTTGTTATAATTGTCATTGCCTTCCATGATCGTTGTTATAATTGTCATTGCCTTCCATGATCGTTGTTATAATTCACTTGAAAAACTGAAAATACCACTTAAGAAGTTCATTTAAAATAGTGGCTCTCAACCTGTGTGTCGCCACCCCTTTGGGGGTCGAATGGCCCTTTCAGAGGGGTGGCCTAAGACCATCGGAAAACACATATACCCAACAGTTATGAAGCATCAACGATAAAAAAAAAAATTTTGGTTAAGGGTCGCCACAACATGAGGCACTGTGTTAAAGGGTTGCGGCATTAGAAAGGTTGAGAACCACTGATTTAAAAGAAATAAATCAAATAAATTTATTTGTTCAGTTATATAAATTAGTAATTCAGTTGGTTAAATTAGCAAATCAGTTGGTTAAATTAGTAAATCAGTTGGTTAAATTAGCAAATCAGTTGGTTAAATTAGCAAATCAGTTGGTTAAATTAGCAAATCAGTTGGTTAAATCAGTAAATCAGTTGGTTAAATTAGTAATTCGGTGGGTTAAGTTATGTATTCCGTTGGTTAAATTGTTAATTAATTTGTTCTTGCCTCCAGGCATCTACGATGAGAAAGATTGCAGCAGTTCAGAATTGGATCATGGAGTTTTGGCTGTTGGATACGGAGCTCAGAACAAAGCAGATTATTGGATTATCAAGAACAGGTCAGTTTTTTATGGCTGCTGGTCATGTGTTATTATTTTATTGGTCCTTTGTGATTATTTCATTGGTCCTCTGTGATTATTTTGTTGGTCCTGTGTGATTATTTTGCTTATGCTTTGTGATTTTTTTGTTGGTCCTGTGTGATTATTTTGTTGGTCCTATGTGATTACTTTGTCAGACTTGTGTGAATGTCTTCATAAGCCTTCAATCATGCATGTCACTATGTCTATCAACAGCTGGGGTAGCACTTGGGGAATGGAAGGCTACATACTGATGCTAAGGAATGCCAAGAACCAATGTGGCACTGCAACTTTAGCCAGCTTTCCTGTGACTGCCTCACCTTGAAGACGTCATTATTTAGTTAGTTTTCATATAAACGAGTGGATCTTCCTTTCCCTTTCAAAAATATGTTGTACCTAGAGATTTAGCTATAATGCCAAATAAAGTCAATAGAAAAAATCCCCCTATCAATGTTTTATTTTTTTAAATTTACAAATGTAAGACATGCTTAGATGGCTATGTGTAAATAATAAAGGTTTGAGAGTTCTCCACAGTGACTGTTTAAACAGCAGCTTTCTCAGTAAGTACATAACATCCCTCACTCAGGTCCACGCCTATGAAAGTCTGGGTCTCCGAATATTTTTAAAACTTGAAAAAGGGCAGGCCCCTAAGTACCTTGGGCCCCTGACAAGTGCCATGGTTGTCCCCCACCCCCTCAGGTGCGGGCCTGCCTCACTGAATCCATGACATACCCTACAACAGTGGCTCCCAACTATTTTGACTCGAGGAGCCCCTTTTATGATCAATTTTGTATCGGGTAGCCTCTTATTTCTACCCAATGTCTTAGGAGTAGTGTTTTTATTTCCACGATTGGCAGCGTAGCCCATGAGAAGTGAATGCTGAGCACAGGTTGGGAACAACTGCATTATACACCACATTCATCAGCACATCTATTCTCATGTCTTTCTTTATTGGTGTCTTTAATAATGTTTCGTTATTTCACTCTGCCTCTCACTTTCTCTCTCTCTCTCTCTCTCTCTCTCTCTCTCTCTCTCTCTCTCTCTCTCTCTCTAATTCTCTCTTATAATTTAATGCATTTCTTCTCTTAAACTGATCTAATTTTTAAATCATAGACTTGTTGCGGATGACAGCATGGTTCATCAAATTTTCAGCCCCCATTCCCAACCCTTAAATTTGTATTTCTGTTTTTCAAGGGGAAGATGGATGAAATATAAGTTTTCAATGGGTGCTTGGTTTTGTGTGGAGATTAATTGTGCTGTTGTTGCTATGTGCTTTGTATTTGTGACGCATTTGGGCTTAAATATAGCTTTAGTCTGTTAGGTTTTACATGCATTAAGTTTGATTTTTTTTTTAAACATTCCCATACCAAAAATCAGTTGCCACAATCAAATAAATGGTAAACCACGTATGATTACATGAATGCGAACAGAGGTTCATATAAAGGATTTATTACGAAAAACTTTGGTTTTAAGGGTTGTTTAATAAACAAATCCTTCTTGTATTTTTACAAATAAAACATAATTACACATACACATTATGTATATCAAACAATGATTTCATTTTAAATTGTACTGTTTAACATAAAAGTATTATATGTACATATGCCATCGGGGTAAAGGGCGCGGAAAGAAAAAGTCCATGAAGTTGTGAGGTGTTGAGAATGGCAGAGGTGTTGTGTGACGTTGGCGAGACGTTGGCGAGACATTAGAGAATATTGGGATAAAAGGCGAAGCTGTCATAAATTATACTCAATCAGATCTTTATTACGGTATTAATAAGTTTAAGAATACGTGATAGATGAGTTCCTCAGCTGCCCACCTCGTCGTAGATGTTAGTGGCTCCATCTGCACTGGCGTCACGTTCCTGAGCGCCAGCTGTGCTGACGTCATCCTCATGGAAGTCCACGCCCACGCAGTCGGTCACCATGTACGCCCTCACCGAGCTCCTTACCCGGCGTAAGCACGCATCGTCCAACGGGGTGGGCCTGGGTGACGTCTGCGAGCTTCTGGGGGCCGGGCAGCGCGTGTCCTTCAGAGACATTGGAACGCTTGCTTGTTTTCGCCAGAAGTTCTTGCTGCAATTTGAGCAGCTGCAATGTTCCAATGAGCCATTTTTAGAACACGCGATTCTGTGTCTGGGTGGACTACATGTTCCCTCCTCGTTATTGTTGCTCTCATCCTGCACCGGAACAAAATACTCCCCGTTCCCTCCATCATTACAGCTGACACACAGGACACCCGCGGCGTGCCTTGAGACCCGCACGGGTTTTTTCTGAGAAGAGTTAGCTCTACGGGCTCGAGGTGGCCTCCCTTGATTCGACTCGTAACCCGCCTTCATTTCGACGTACAGCCTTCCCCTGCGGTACGTGTCAATGTCTACGTAGTATGGGTCACCTGCCGTGGTGGGGTCGTCTCCGGGGGTCGACACTGCGTCATCATACGGACTTCCTTCTCCGGAGATGTGCGTGTCGTACACGTGTGCGGGGAACGCGTCCCTGTGGCGACACGTGCTGGGTACCCGGATGACGACGCCGTCTTGTTTCGGGATGTTGGCATAGCAACACTCTCTGTGAGACGAAGGCGTTGATGGGTTCAGCACCCTCGAGTTGGCGTAGCTGAAATCGCGAGGCGTCAAATAGTCGTCACTGTTGGGTAGGGTGATTTTTTTAATGTGGTCATTTGCCTCCGCCATATTTGATTTAGTGCGGGAATTGTTAGGGCTTGGTGGACACAAATCATTCTTTTGCTGGCGGAGATTTTCAGATGCTTTCATGGCAAGACTTTTCTTGTGAGATCTGACACGCTGTGGCACGGCGGCTGTTTCTTTGGCGTTTTTCGCGTGTTTAGGACGTTGCTGCCGGGGTGCCGGGCGCTTTGTTTTGCCAGGGCGTGAAGATGCCATCTCCTCCGGTTTTAATTTCTCAGACCGCTGCGCTCTTCTCTGTAACGGCTTCAGACCGAGGCAAGCCCCGCCCACGCCGCAGTCAAAGTGGAGCGGATCGTAAACGTTGGATGGAGATCGTGACCTTGAACTTGCGCCCAACGCCTCGTAAAGCTCGAGATATTTCATCGCCCTTTCGGTCTCGGCGTCGCTCGACTGGCAAGGATCGATACTGTTCTGTGAACTGAAAGACGAGCGACTACTGAGATAACCAAGGGTGTTGACGGGAAGAGGCTTTTCGAGGGCGGGCGGTGGCGATACTGCATCGCGCCGTGGTTCTCTCTGCGTATCGTTTACTTGGGCAGAGGACGAGCTGGGGTAAAGATCGAGGTACGTGGGGCACGATGCTCTTTTCTGTTCCCGCGCGACCACGGGCAGTTCTCTTTTCCTCATCTTCACGTCGCTCGGGTCACTTGGCAGGGAAGAGCTCAACCTAAGCTTCGATCTCTTGGAAATCATCTCAGGCGTCGACAGCGTCGGCCTCATCGTCACCTGGAAGGGAAGCACCGCATTCTCGTTGCAGACGAACGTTATTGACGGAGCTCGCTCACCGCTTCCGGAGTTCGGTGGCAGGATGGCGTTGCGGACCAGCGGAATCTGCGACACCCTGGCGAGCGCGTTCCCTCTCTTGGCGTGTATCCGGTTGTTGGCCTTCATCCGCTGCAAGTGCCGATCCTGGCACGCCTTGAGACGCCGACTTCTCTTGACGAAGCTGACGCACGTCATGGCGATGACGATCCCGAGGATGAACAGCGTGGCCACGGCCGTAGCGGAAACGGTCAACGTGGTCAGCAGGCCGGACACGTTCGGGGACTCGTGATTCGGGGTCGGTTCTGAAGACTTTGATGTCGCGGTGGTGGCGTTGTTTTGAGACGCGTTGTTCGGGGCGACAGGCGAGCTGAGTCGGTTGAGAGAGTACTGCGCGTGCGCCGAGTCCTGAACACGCGCGTAGTTGTTGATCAGATGTCGCAGGTGCAACGAAAAGTTGGACAACGATTTAGGTTTGAGGGTGCTGTTGACGTCTGAAGGGGAATAATCGATGGCAAAGAAGGCGTCGAAGAACTGGAAGAAATTGTTGTCGTCATCAGGGTCATCAGCCTCAGGCAAATCGTCATCATCGGTGTCGTCATCGTGTTTGCGTTTTTTGGTGACATGCAGGGGCGTTGACGTTGTGCGGGTTGCATACGACGGTCTTTTTTTGGGTGGTCGTAAAATTAAGCGTGCCGTGTCATCTTCCGAGAAGGGAAGCCGCGATTTGTCTGGTTTGCTGTCGTCAGGTGACGCGCGTTGATCTACCGACGGCACCTGAAGCCAAGACTGAGACGGGAGGACTTCTTTCCCCCGATTTAAGGTCTGGAAACTTGTGACTCTTGAGGCTTCAGCTTGTCCGTATTTGTTGGAAGAACTGAGAACGGCTTCGTATTCAGTCGATGGCAGCAGATCTGTGACACACACCGAATTACTTTGGTTTTGACCCGTTTCATCTTCCACCACCGATACAACACCGACATGCTGTGTCTCGCCAGCTGACTTCACGCCTTCCTGTCTCTGTCGGTAGGTCAACGTGTACACCTGCTTGGAGCCCTCGCTGAAGCATCCGTCCCACGAGAAGCAAGCCGAGTCGCGGGTGGCGTTCACAGCCTGGAAGACAGCGGGCAGACATGGCGGCTGTGGGGACGTGACGGTGATCGTCTTGTGCAGACGTCCGTGGGTGTTGATGACCGTGACGTCGTAGACGCCGTACTGGGCCGGAGACGTCATGTTCAGCTCGAAAGTGGCCTGGCAGTGTTTGATGACGTCGTCGCACACCACATCCGACCCACCCACCACCTGCTGCCTCCCCCCGGCCGCGCGGTGTTCAAACGTCACGCTGGGGGCGGGGTGGCCGTAGAAGCAAACGCGAACCCGTACCTTTTCGTCAAAGGTTTTGATCACGTGGACCTCTTGACCTATTGTGCACGAAACGTCACGTGACACTTCAAAGGGCGAGCACTCCAGATTTAAGACGACGGATTGCGTGGACGCATCGCCGACCCCGTTCCAGGTTTTGCACGAGTATTCTCCGTTGTCCAAGCACGTGGCCGACCTCAGCTCAAATTTGCTCCGTTTCCTGTCCGAGTCAATCTGTGACGTAGTGACCGATGCCGAGTTGCCGGCGAGGCTTATGCCGACGCCGTCCTTCAACCATTCCGTGCTCACCTCCGGCCACCCCCTGACGTGACACGAGAAGACAACGGTTTGAGCGCCGCTCGTGATCCCCGGGGGATCCCCGGGCGGCTCCCCCGCGTCGACACGGCTGACGTTCAGCGACGTCACGGTGGGGGGAAAGAAGATCTTCAGCTCCACCGGTTTTATGCTCCTCCCGGCGTCATTGCGTGCCTGGCACGCGTACAGGCCGGCGTCGTCGCGGCTGAGTGGCGTCATCTCTAGGACGGCTGCGTCAGCGATTTTTTTACCTGCTTTATACCATCTGTGATGGGGAGAACAAAATGATGCAGTTCAGA